TCTCCAAGAAGCTCCGCCACTGTTGGACCTTTCACTGGATAAATGATAAATACTACACTAGAAGAGTTTACCGAGTTCTTATTGGTGATCCTCAACCTACTCTTTCCCCTTGCAAAAGGATATGTTGTCTACATTTCTATCCAAATAAAAACAGAAACAAAATCTTATGTTCTGTATACATGGTAGGCTTTATGCTAGAGACTTGATGAACAGAAACAATTTCTTTGTTGACAATACAAATCATTGTATATGTGAGGAGGCACTATTGAAATTATGATACATCTATTTTTCTCATGTGAATTATTTCAGAACTTTTGGTCGAGTCTGGGCACTGAATGTGACATTGGTCTGGATTCTGGATATGATCATCCAAGCAATGAACAAGCAAAATATCACATGCTTCAAAGAGACTAGTATTGCTAGGTGTTAGACTATATGGAAACATATAAATAACTATATATTCGACAATAAAGAGATTTACATTGTGGTGTCTCTTTAGTTTCAAGAAACATTTTTGTATAATCATGAAAAAGTCCAAACCTGGTCAGAAGGAGGGTAAGTCATGGTTAAAGAATTTGTAATTATATCTTTACAGTTCCCGTTGTAAATATCCACATGTACGATATCCAACATACTAATGAAAAATGAGTCACGGTAAGGGCCATGCCCACTGTATTTTGTTCAATTTTTTTATTTAAAGGGGTGTGCAGAAACAACACCCCCAGTAAGTTCATAGTTCATGTATGTGCATAAGGTTTTCATAAGGTGACAAAGGATTTAAAAAAAGGGGCCACCAAACCGGGTTGGGTTGAATATTATGGTAGCAGCAAATACTAGCTTCCAGTATTGCAATGATTAGAAGCTGAGAAAGGTATGGTAGCTCTTGGGTGTAGGAACACTCTCATGAATAATAAAGTTTTTTAAAGAATAAAAATATAATAAGTGGGTTTTTTACATCAAATATGCTTAAATGCTTTAGGTGCTTGCAAATTTTCGTCGAGAAATATCATGTAGAGAAAGGTGTACACATGAGAAACAAAAATCAGTGCTAAAAGTGCTCAAAACCTTGAGAAATGAAATCTTTTTCTTGTGTAGAGCTCCTTGGATATTTTCTGGCATGAAATCTTGCAAGCGCCTACAAAGTTTGAGCATATTAGATGTCACATAATTTCTTTTTTTCCGATTATTTTGAATTTATTGTTCGTGATGATGTCCCTATATCGGGAGTTTAAAAAACCACTCTCATGCACTAAGGGCATCTCCAAGGTGGACTTGCAAACCACCCGCATAAGTCCGGGCGGTTCGGACATACTTTTTCCAGCAAACCCGAGACAAACATGCACGGGAGGGGGGGGGGGTTACTTTGCTTTAGTTCGCACAACAGACACATAGGACTCTGACACCCCGGGCCCACTGAAAACCCTTCCCGGACCCCGCGCCTCCATCCTTCCGATTTTCTCTCCTTCCTTCTTTCTCTCTTGCCTTCGCCGCCACTCCACCACCCCGGCCGCCACATTACACCCCCCTGCCGAAACTCTACATGTCCATCACCTCCAGCGTTCCAGCCGGATTCCACCCCGCTTCTCATCCGTCATTGTGCAACCCCTCTCCTTCGACCACCCCACCAGGTACCATTAGTGGTCGGGGTGTTTGGACTTCAATACATGAGAGGGCCTAGTGTGACACACACCGAGAGACTCTTGACAATCTCAGAAGCAAGAGGGTGGCCAGGTTTGCTTGGACCTCTTGACTGCATGCATTAAAAATGGAAGAACCGTCGGAAGACTTTACAAGGGCAAAATCAGGGTCATGTTAAGAATCCCACCACCATTCTTGAAGCAGTTGCATCACATGATATTTGGATTTGATACGCTTTCTTGGGCATGCCCGGGTCTCACAATGACAACAATGTGCTGCAACGATCACCGTTGTTTGCGAGGCTGACTGAAGGCAAGGCTCCTCCTTGCCACTATACCGTCAATGGACATGAGTACAACATGGGCTACTATCTGGTTGACGGTATCTATCTTCCGTAGAGTACCTTTGTCAGCACCATCTCTAAAACTCAGTTGGCTAGAAAAAGTCTCACTTTTCCCAACGAGCGCCTAGAAAGGATGTCGAGTGGGCATTTGGAGTTCTGCAGGCCCGCTTGGCAGTTGTTCGTGGACTTGCTAAACAATGGGATCCGGAGACCTTGTGGGAGGTGATGAATATTGTGTGATCATGCACAACATGATCATTGAGGATGAGGGTGAGGATGCTGCCGCAGCTCTAGAATTTGAGAACATGGGTGATTCTATCAAACTTCCAGGCCAAAATCCGGCCACATTTCAAGAGTTTGTTGAAATGCATCAACAAATTCGACATCGACCAACTCACGAGCAGCTGAAGAAAGATCTGATTGAGCATCAGTAGGTGGTTAAAAGGGACAACAATGTTGGAATGTAAAATTTGCAATTTTTAAATCTGAACTAGTGTTGCATGCGGATATTTGAAAGTATGTACTCTATGTATGCGGGCACCGTTGGATGGTGGTCTTCTGCATCCGTGTCCGCGGGTTGGTCCCCCTGTCCACAGACAGATGCGGGAGAAAATTTACAGGTCATCGTTGGAAATGCCCTAAGTATTTACCAAAACAACACCGTTGGCAATCCAGGTGTAAGTTTTAAATGCAAACAAAGAGACATAAATCAACTTCTGAATGTTTTGTTCTATAGCGTGCAAGTATTACCCCGAACGGTTCAATGCCACCCCGTCACCCCCCCAAGGTTTGGCAAGCATAGGCCTAGAAATTGTCTACCTGGACCCAAACCCAACGGGCTCCATCGTTAACCATAGTTTTGGAGGTCCTTAATCCAGAACTGGCGAGAGAACTCAAATAGTCTCCAACAGTTGAAGTCTGAGATGAGGAAATCTGATTTCACGCCGTTGAGTGTCAATGTTAAGGACGCTGAAAGCACGAATTAATCTGCAAATCATCTGATTGCAAAACACTAGTGCATCTTTGCAATTTCGAGAGTGCATTATTGAGGTCCGTCCTCCGTTTGCGGTTCGTGCTCATAATTATGCGAAGAAAAACTTTTTTACAAGTCTATTATGTTTGGTCAGCCACGCTGGAGTAGGGATAGGGATAAACCACGCGTTATGGATAATATCCAACAACGGTTCATTTACTCCTACCATTGGATCGGGGCGTGAAATTCCCTTGGTCCTTGCTCCATCCCGCGGCTCCTGACACCAGGAGTCAACCGTCCGGTAGATTTACGTTACGGACCATGCGAATCACTCCCACGATGCTCATGCATGCATCCAGGCCGTCCGATGCTCGGCGGGGCCATTGATTAACTCCGTATGCACACGCAGTGCAGCCAACCACGCTCTGAAGAAATGAAATCCCAGCACTGCACGCACACTCCACATGACATGTACGCGTTACAGCGAGCAGCAGCTAGGACACACGGTCGACAGTGATACTAGCACGTACGACGTGCAACAGTGTAACGCCTCCAGTATATATCAGTGCCATTCTGCAAAAGGCTCGCGGGTAGTAACTACGACGCGTGGGACAGGTGAGAAGAGACGCGTGAGGAGGACAAAAGTCGACAGTGCATTGCAGCGGGCGGCGCTCGCCCACGGGGAGTACGTGTGCCGGCCAGCGGTGGCGTACGGCGGCAGGCACCACCGCCGTCCACCGGACACGGCAACAAATTCACCATACCAGTGCCGCATAGCACGCATGAAATTTACTGGTAGTAGTAGTAGGAATTAACTACGTCCATGCACCTGGCACTGACAGTTCCTGTTCCCGCCTCACAGAAAGGTCACTCAACAGTCGACGGACTCCAAGGCTCGAACCAGTATAGGAATCATAACGAGCCAGTCAAGGTGTCAAATCAGATAATTTTGGCGTTGAGTTTAGAGGAATACAAATGGGGGAAGGGCGTGTTGAATCATCCCCCTTCTGCTTGCCGCTCCATGGCTCGGCTGGTGGCGGGGAGGTGAATTTCGGTGACTTGTCCCAACTAAAAGATAGGTTAGGGTTTTACCCCTGCAAGGCTGCAATCCTCTGCAAGGACGACACTTCTTAGGGCATGGCCAACGCATAGTCTCAGGGTGATGCCTCACATGCCATGTAGGATCGGATAACAGAAAAAGTAGGTTCGGATGGGGAAGCGGGATCCTCTTCAGGAAGCGGGTGCTTAGAGAGAAAAAATGTGGTCCGATGGATAAAGTTAGAAAAGTTAAAGTGAAAAGGAAGGATGCATGTGTAATGAAAGTCACTTTCTATTCTTTGATGAGACCCACTAATAATAGCTTGTATTGGGGAGAAAAAATAAACACATATACCTCAAATTACTTTTTGTCATGTGGCATCTGTATCCATATGCCACCATTGTACATGCCTTTAAAGTCTGTCTTTTTGACTCCGATCCTACTTAAATTCATCCATCGAAACGGATTAGATCGAGCTACCGACGTGGATTGATGCCGGCTCCTCGAGGCTGCATAGCATGATGAGTAGCAGAGGTAATTAACTACGTCCATGCATCTGACAGTCACTGTTTCCGCTTCACATAAAAGGCCACTCAACAGTCGACGGACTCCAACCACTTGGGATCAACTCACAAGGATTTTGCGTCGATTTTGTAAATGAAAATCAAGGGACACCACCTTTCGCGTCGCCCTCATCCTGCTACCCCGTCGGCGATTGGCTGGCTGGCCGGCTGGCCGGCGTGTGTGCCAGAGAGACGGACAGGCCTAACTAGCCCGCCAATGCATGCCACGGCGGGGAGTAATTGGTTGGGCGTTGGCCACCGCAGGCCGCCACTGGTGCCCTCCCCGATCGCATTTAACCCCACCTCACCGGCGACCCGACCCCGACGCGACGCGGCCATGTTCGCCACCACCACCACCCCCACCACCACCCCCAGTAGTTGAGCCGCGTCCCTCGCGTGCGCGCACCCACGTACTACACTACACACACGTACATCTCGCACCGCGCCACCAACCGCGTGCCGCCCGTCTATATATCCCGCCCGCGCCGCGCCAGCCCCTGCCACTGCCACTGCCACACTCCCTCACACTCGCCAGTCACCACCTGAACCGAGCTCACCGGAGCGCCGCCATGGAGCTGCTGCCGCTGCTGACGGTGCTGCTGCTGGCGCACGCGGCGGCGTACCTGGCCTGGCAGGCCCTGGCGCGCGCGCGGCGGGCGCGCTGCTACCTGCTCGACTTCGCCTGCCACAAGCCCTCCGACGACCGCAAGGTCACCACCGAGATGGCCGGCGCCGTCATCGAGCGCAACAAGCGCCTCGGCATGCCCGACTACCGCTTCCTGCTCAAGGTCATCGTCAACTCCGGCATCGGCGAGCACACCTACTGCCCGCGCAACGTGCTCGACGGCCGCGAGGAGTGCGCCACCCACTACGACGCGCTCGAGGAGATGGATGCCTTCTTCGACGACGCCGTGCGCGGCGTCTTCGAGAAGACGGGCGTGTCGCCGCGGGACGTGGATTTGGTCGTGCTCAATGTCGGGTCCTTCTCGCCGGCGCCGTCGCTGGCGGCGCGGGTCGTGGCCAGGTTCGGGATGCGGGAGGACGTCCAGGCGTACAACCTGTCCGGCATGGGGTGCAGCGCCGGGCTCGTGTCCGTGGATCTCGCGCGGCAGGTCATGCTCACCCGCCCGCGCACCATGGCGCTGGTGGTCACCTCCGAGTCCTGCGCCCCCAACTGGTACAACGGCACCGACAAGTCCATGATGCTCGGCAACTGCCTCTTCCGCTGCGGCGGCGCCGCCGCGCTGCTCACCAACGACCCGGCCTACCGGTCCCGGGCCAAGATGGAGCTGCGCTGCCTCGTGCGCGCGCACATCGGCGCGCACGACGACGCGCACGCCGCCGCCGTGCACTGCGAGGACGCCGACGGCCGCCTCGGGGTCAGCCTCAGCAAGGCGCTCCCCAAGGCCGCCGTGCGCGCCTTCAGCGAGAACCTCCAGCGCCTGGCGCCGCGCATCCTGCCGGCCGCCGAGCTCGCGCGCTTCACCGTGCGCCTCCTGGCGCGCAAGCTCATGCGCCGGAAGCTCAAGTTCGAGGGCCCCAAGATCAACTTCAAGACGGGGGTGGACCACTTCTGCCTCCACCCCGGCGGGACGGCGGTCATCGAGGCGGTGAGGAAGAACCTGGGGCTCAACAGCTACGACGTCGAGCCGGCGACCATGACGCTGCACCGGTGGGGGAACACGTCGGCGAGCAGCCTGTGGTACGTGCTGTCCTACATGGAGGCGAAGCGGCGGCTCAAAGCAGGGGACAGGGTGCTCATGGTCACCTTCGGCTCCGGGTTCAAGTGCAACAGCTGCTACTGGGAGGTGAGCAAGGACCTCGACGACGCCGGCGCCTGGGAAGACTGCATCGACGACTACCCGCCGGAGACCATGGTCAACCCCTACACGGAGAAGTTCGGATGGGTCAACGACCTACAGGGCCAGGGAGGCGCCTTCCCATTCTAACCTCCAATGCTTTGATTTTACTTTGGAAACCTTAATTATTATTGATTATTTCAGAGTTAAAGACAAACTCGTAGAAAATTATTTTAAATCAAGGGGGTATGCGTATGGTGGTCTTTTTTTTTTCGTTTACGATTTTTCTGTTCGTCCTGTTGATACGAACTTACACTTGTAAATAGTTAGCCCGCATATGTGTATGTACGATTGTACGTGGACCCACACGATGGATCGTGTTATGAACAAAAAGATGTTCGGTTATACTTAGAGGAAATAAAAAGTAAAAACAGAGTGTGCACAAGAAAAGTGAACAAGGGCGTTGATGTGTGCCTGTATTTGTTAGTAGTACTTTTCAACTTCATATGTGTCAACAAGCTACATTGAGAATTAAAATTTTGTAAACAAATTATTCTTAATCCAAGATTATGCTATGGTTATTTTATTTTGTCCCAGATCAGAAAAATTCTAACTTGTCTTGTTCATACAAATTTGAATCTGTAATGTTTCTGTAGCCAATTGCATATATATGTTTATATGCCTACAGGCGTGTATTGTTGTAAATAGAATTTTGTTCTCATATATACATGGCCTGTGTGTAGGAAGCGCAAAAAACAGGGTTATTTTTTTTCATGAATACGCAGAGGATGCGTATCTTTTCATTGATAGGGGAAGAGTTGTACAACATGAGGTTACAGGAGCTCGCTAAGCCATGTACACAGGAAGGCATGGAAGCGAGCTAGAAGCAGGACAAACATGGGGTTGCTCAGCCCGAGAAACCTAGAATGCTATCTCTCGGGAATGATGTTGTGTAGTCCGGTGGCGCCGGCCTTGGCCCACATGCGCGCTTCGTTTCTGATGATGTCAGAAAGCCGGGTGATGGAGGGCTGCTCGCCGTCGAAGATGCAGGCGTTCCAGTGCTTCCAAAGCCACCAGGCAGTGAGGATGATAAGAGAGGCCAAACCCTTGCGCGCAGGGGATGGCGAACGGTTGCAGGATGTCTCCCACCAAGTGAAGAAGTCAGTGTCATTGCTCGGAATGTCGGCGGTTGAGCGAACCCAACTGAGGACCTCGTGCCATATTTGGCAGGAGAAAGGGCAGCCCACCAAAAGATGTTGTATAGTCTCCTCTTCTTGATCGTAGAAGGGGCAAGAGTCCTCGCGTAGAAGGCCATGACGAGCGAGTCATTCAACCGTCCAACATCGGCCCTGCAACGTCAGCCACATGAAGAATTTTATGCGAACGGGGGCCCATGGCTTCCAAGTGAGCCGCCAATGCAGGTCCTGGCAGGCGCCGAGGAAAAGCGTCTGATAACATGAGCTCGCCGAGTAGGTAGCGGAAGAAGTCCAGCGCCATTGGAGGGAGTCTGGGGAGTCAGTGAGAGAGACGTGACGCACGCAGCGCCAAAGGTCAACATACTGGACGAAAGTGGCAGGGCCCAGAGCGCCCTGGATGTCACGGACCCAGGAGCGTTGGAGGAGGCCATCGTGCACGGTGCGGGTCTTGCGCCGTCGCCGGGTAACAAGTGCGAGAACGAGCGGGGCGATCTCAGCGACCGATCTACCATTGATCCAGTGGTCACTCCAGAACCTGCAAGTGCGTCCGTCGCCGAGTGCCCAGATGGTAGATGCACGGAAGATGGTCGAGACGGCGAGGTCTTGAGGGACGTGAAGATGGCTCCACGAGTGCGACGTGCCCGTGTACTTGAGCCAAAGCCAGTGAGTTCTAAGCGCGATGCCGGCGCACTGTAGGTCACGGACGCCGAGGCCACCAAGAGAAAGCGGGCGACATACTCTTTGCCAATTAACCAAGCATTGGCTGCCTTTGGCATCCTTGCTCCCAGCCCAAAGAAACCCACCAATGATCCGATTAGTCCTGCTTGAGGATGGAGGGGTTGAAGGCGATGACGGTGAGGAAGTGCATGGTGATGGCACATAGGACGTGCCGGACGAGAGCGAGACGATCTCCTCGGGAGAGGAGGGAGGCGCGCCATGTGGAAAGTTTCCGCTTCAGCTTGTGGATGATTGGCATGAGGCTCGTGGTAGAAGGCTTGCGGATGGACAAAAGGAGTCCCAAGTATTGAATAGGGAATTGTTTCATCGAGCATTGCATCTTGGAAGCAATGGTCGCTATGTCCTCGTCATTGCACAGGATGAGGGTAGCCGAGCACTTGTTGTAGTTAGTACGGAGCTCGGAGGCCACCCCAAAGACACGTAGAAGCTCGCGGACAGCCGAGATATCATGGTGATCCGGGCGGCAAAAGATGACGACGTCGGCGGCATAGAGGGAGATGCTAGAGGCCGCATGTCTCGTGGTCAGCCGTTGGATGAGGCCAAGCTCCACAACACGAAAAAAACCTGTCGTACACCATGATTAATTTTAGGATCACTACTTAGCCTACGAGCTATAAACAATCCCAATTATTACTAAAGGACAACAGGCTAAACAAGCATGACAAGGATGTCATGCATCAAATATGCATGCATAATGGGAAATGCGGAAGGTAAAGTACTTTATTCTACAACATTCATGATAAATGTCAATTGCTGTGGATTTTCACAACTACCGATTGTACTCGTGCAATACAGATTGTATAAATTATATGAAGCAAGTCTCCTATGTTAAAGTCCAGAGCTTTATTTAGTTTTATTTAAAATAGTGTGATATTAACACATTTTTAATATTATCACATACTCCCTCCATCCATAATGTAAGACATATCTTGACACTACACTAATCATAAAAGTCTTATATAATGGGACGGATGGAATAAACAATACGACACCCGCAAAGCTTCATACCAATTTCGAACTATCACAAATTATACATTTTGATTAATATAACAGATGAACATGGTTGAAATATGGACCACATCTTTTAATGGCATTTAAAAAAAAATTTAATAGCATGCATAGTTCTAAAAAACTTTAATTCTTGATCGATTAATATGAGAAGCTAAGGTTGGAAAGTCTTAAAATTCATATTTTTATAAGTACTACGGTTCGGTATTATTATGTATTTTTTGAAATGATATGCTCCTATGTATAATCAATATATTGTTATTAGGAGATTAAACATAAAATTAATATACAATTTTATGATATTCTTGTTTAGAAGAAGGTCAACCATGGAATATTATATTTACATGCTATATTTACAAGCATAATTGTATAAAAAAAAAACTACTTAGATAAGAATATGCCAAACAAAATACATCATCGCTTTTCTATAAAGAAGCAGAGATTAAAGGAAAATGGTAGCAATCACCTGACGGATCGTGTCATCGCGTCTGCTGCTTCCCAAACCGTCCAATCCATTTTGATCCTGTGATACAGAGAGCACCATTGTTGGCTTTGGCCCACATAGTCACATATCCTAACAACCGACCACACACTGCCTTATCCTTTTGGATCCATCGTTTTCCTCACATATACATAGTTTTCCCCAAAATCTCTTCAGTAGCTCACGACCACCGCCATTTGATGTCCCTCTCGCCACACTCCGGCGTCCTCCACAGCTAGCCGTTCACCACCGCAAAAGCCATCGGATCGACTACGCCTTGATGCTTCCTACCGCATGTTGATGTGGTTGCTCGCCTGGTGGGCTGGAAAGAGACGACAACGATGCACCCGACGACGCCGTTGTGGAGCAGGAAAAGGATGGGCGACGGCGCCGCATTGAGGCCATCACGTGCCGCCTCCATGTTGCAATTGCAACTACGAAGGCAATGGCAAAGTCGACGAATGACGACGGTGCTACTACGACATGCGTCGGCAACGGCAACAGTGTTTCAACAACAACATAATCTTAATTACAAATTTTCCTGTAACATAGGTGATGTTGCGGAAATTTTCTGCAACATCATTTATGTTGCAAAAGTTTCTTACACAAAGATGAGACAAAAATGCAAAATGACCTTTGTTGTAAAAGTTTTTCTGCAACAATACCTTTTTTGTAAAAAAAAATTGTAACAAGACCCGTGTTGCAAAGATTTCTGCAACAAGACGTTTGTTTTTTTTGCGGGAAACTATCCATCTATTCATCTTCAATCATGATAGTACAATGAACACCAGAAATAATAAAAATTACATCCAGATTCATAGACCACCTAGTGACGACTACAAGCACTGAAGTGAGCCGAAGACGCGCCACCATCATCGCCCCTCCCTCGCCGGAGCCGGGCACAACTTGTTGTAGTAGACAGTTGGGAATTCGTCATGCTAAGGTCCCATAGGACCAACGCCCCAGAACAGCAACCGCTGCCGATGAAGAGAATTTTATATCAGAAGGATCCAACCTGAGACACATGAACAAAGACGAACAAAGACCGGATCCACCAAAAACAACAACCGACCAAATCTCGTGAGATCCGCCGGAGACACACCTCCACACGCCCTCTGATGATACTAGACACACCATTGGGACGGGGACTAGGCGGGGAGAACCTTATTCCATCTTCAAGAAGCCGCCGCCGTCTCGTCTTCTTGAGCAGGACACAACCCCTAACAAAACTTGAAGAAGCACCCGAAAACAGAGCCCTCCCACCGGCAAGGGCCGGGATCCACCGCGCACCCATGGCCCTAAGGCCACATGATACGTGGGAGATCGGCGCCGCCGCCGACGGGAAGCAGAAACCCTAGCTGTCTTTTCTTGGAGGAGGGATAAAGGGAAGATGTTTGTTGCAAAGATTTCTGCAATAGCAGCTCTGTTGCAAGAATCAGAGACACCACTTTGTCTCACATAGCGTGACATCGGATAGCTCGCAATGGGGTGGTTCTTTTAAAAAGATCCGCTGGCCGACGCGTAGCATGCCCCGAGATTAAAACACGAGAAAGTTCGGAAACTAAATCCATGCTACATTTCTCGTCGGGGAGTGGAAGGATTGAATAAAATATTCTTATTTAAAAGTCCATTGAGGGAAGTAGAATCAAACTAACTTGAAAAAGATTCACAGTGATGCCAACAACAAATGCGAGCATAGAAAGACCTTAGCAGAGCTTCAAATCATT